GGCTGGGCTGGACCAACAGCCTCCAAAAACAATACAGAGAAACCCTGTCTCGTAAAAACCAAAAAAAAATCCCATCACTGGGAAGATCAAAGGTCCACATGGGGAATATACTGTTGCTGCTTTTCTAAATGCTCACACTGTCAAGCTGCCGTCTAAATATTTATATTTATACCCATAGACATATGTTGCTCTCAGATTTTGTCAGAGAAGCTTTTTTATCCTCTATGTACTGGTTAATGCAAAGACTTATAACTGGTCTAAGTACTGAGTAGAAATACTGAGTTCTCAGGTATGCATGGGTCATCTATATCACATCTCCCCATCCAAGGCTCAGGGACAGGGAACAGAAAGGGGGCAGAAACGGAAACAGAAATAATGTAAGAGCCAGTCAATATGGAAGAGAACTGTGAAATGTTCACTTCTGGACATGGCATTGCTGTGGCACACATCAACTCACAGCAACCGTCATTAGCTGCACAAGATTAAATAATCACAATATCAGCAAGGATGGGGGAGGGGTCAAAGTCTCATTTCTAGAGGAGGAGCAACCGGTAGTCAGTGGCTGCTCAGGGGGCAAGATTTACTCTTCTTTAGGGATGCGGTCCCTGGTGCGTTGCCCCTGCCCCTGGGGATGTCCCTCTATACATGTGAGCAACATTAATTGGATTAAGGAGGTTATTATAACAATAAAAGGACACGAAGTTGAGAAAGAGATGGGGCTTGGTGGCAGGCACTGGAATTATTTGGAGGAAGGTAGTGGTGGATGAATATGATCAATATATACTGTATGAAATATAAACAAATGTATGAAACTTTCAAAGACTAAATAGAAAATATTATTTTAAAAAGACTTGTGTCTTGCTGTGCAGGTATCGTATGAGTTATTTGCCAGGCTAACACAATAGGTCAGCTGTACATTTCTTCCCTCTTCATATACGCACAGCACATACATGGAACTTCTAGATATCCCCATCTCTAAGAAAATCCAATAGGCCAACAATCCTGCTCAGGTAAGACAACCTTCCTGGGAACCACGAGTTAACTCTACAAATGGCTCTTCCCTTGCAAGTTTCCGGGACTGGGCAACACATTTGGACCGCAATGGCCTCACACTTGCTTTCGCCCTTGTGTCATTTTCACAGTTCTTAACACAGTGCTTGTGTCACCATCCATTGCTCTGCAAATGATCACAGCGCTTGTCGAGAGTGTGTTTTTCTGGGCCAGACCTGATACTGTGGACCTGGGGGAGGGAGGTGCAAAGCCCCAAGACTCCAAGGCTGGTTCTTTTCATCTTCCAAAGGGGGAGAGCAGACTCCTGGCCATGTTCTTCTGTTTAAGGGAACTGATCTATGCACCCAGCCAGATTGTGCAAAATGTTCAAAGTCGGCATTCGAATACAAAAGTGCATTAATTCAAAACCACAGTTGGCACCATGAGAGTGGCAAAGGATTACTCTGCTTTAAATGATCACAGAGGTATTTGTGATTCTGTTTTGCTTTCATGATAGGCTGTTATTCTGTCTGTGATTTATTTAATACTACATCTCCAGTCTGCAAGAGAACTCTCAATTATTATAACAGTTTCCATGGAAACATATGATCTATTCTCTCTTATTGGCTCACTGTTCCCTAATGATCCATTCTCCCACTATCCCCCTCCATCTCCCTCCCCAACCTCAATTCTTTCCAGAAGCCCCCATGGAATTTCCATTTTCTATGAGCAATTCTCCTGCCTCTACTGTTAAGTGATCAAAAGCATGTGCATGGTACACTGACTTTTGAGTTAACAAGGACAAAAATAAGAATAGTAAATTAGCCTAGGGAGACCAGAAAGAAGCAAACTCAATTAAGGAAAGTTCACATATGGAGGCCGAGTCAGCAAGGGGCCACAGAAGTGGACAAACTTGAGTGGAAGCAAGACTTTCCAATGTTTATACTTTAATATAATTTTAATTGTGAGCTATGTAAATACCAGGCTGGCTTAAAATAAAATTGGAGGGGAAAGAAATGAGGAAGGACTGTGAGTAATTATGGAGTTTCTTGGTTGGTGACAATGTTGAAACTGTGCTGATTGTTGTGACAAATTAGAAACCACTGGATTGGACTGTTTATGTTGGGAGAGTATAATGGTATGAAAATTACATCCCCCTAAGTGTTGCTCTCTCTCTCTCTCTCTCTCTCTCTCTCTCTCTCTCTCTCTCTCTCTCTCTCTCTCTCTCTCTCTCTCGTGTGTGTGTGTGTGTGTGTGTGTGTGAGATTTAATTTTATTTTCTACGAGTTGGAGGTCTGACTATGCTGCCCATCTGGCCTGACTCCTGAGCTCATGTAATCCTCCTGCCTCTGCTTCTTTTGTAGCTGTATATGTATAGTATTGCATCCAACTTAAAACTTAATTTTTAAAACTCCCACATAAGACCTAGCACAGTGTTGCTCCCCTATGATCTCAGCACCTGAGTGGACAAGGCAGAAGGGCTGAAAATTCAAGGCCAGCCCAGGTTACATAGGTCAAACCTCAGAGATGACACAAAGCAAGAGTCCCTATTGGACCCAGCTTATCAGAATTTCCTCTTCCTTTGGACCACTTTCTTTTTCATCACTGGGGAAACTGCTTCACTTTGAAATCCAATCATTTTAAACACCCTGACCCCCACCTTAATATCACAACCCTATACTTCTATAGAGTCCTTCTTTCCCACCAAGAGGCGCCTCTCTTCCTGTTAGCTTTCTTTCCTAACTCTGTCTAGGCACCATTTTCACTCATTCACTTAATACATTTTCACCAGCCACCTGCTACATGCCAGCCTCTGTGGATTGCAGTGGCCTATGTTACTGTAGTCTAGTTCACTGGTTTCACTAATCCAGCCCTAGTCTTATCCTCAGTCTGCTTCTCCATCCCACACCCAAACTGCTCATCACTGCTTGGAAGTGGGGGTGTGGACCATAACCAACTGCCTACTGTGTAACCTTGTGGATCTCAGTGCTGCTTGACCATCCCTTTGGGTGTTTATCCTTTCTTGCCATTCTCATTCCATTCTGAGGCTCTTCAAACACTAAGACAGTATTTCATACTCTATCAGATCTCAAAAAAAAAACCTGGCCATAAGCAAGAGAAAATACAAGCATTAAACCTAGGTGTTGAATGAATTGGGTCCACAATTCTGAAATCCAATGTTGACAGGGAAGAGACTTTCTCATGGGTCACTTAGATCTGAGAGCAGAAAGAGGGACAGACCAATATGTAAATAGGAGCATCATCCATTAATGGTTTCTATGAGAGGAGAAAATAAAATGGAGAATGACTAGGCAAGGTGGCATATGTTTATAAACCCAGCACTAGGAGGGAGGGCAGAGGCAGGGAGATTATGAGTTAGAGGCCAGCCTGGACAGTAGCAAGACCCTCTGTCAAACAAGAGAGTGAATGAGTAGCTACTTTAAGTTGGCAGACAGGGAAGACCTTACAAAAGTGGTGTCCAGGTAGAGATGTGAATTAGAAGAGCCAGTCATGCAAAGACACAAGGGTCTTGAACCAACAAAGCTCCACAGGAAGAAGGAATTGGCTTAATCCAGGCACCCCACAGCCACCATTGTATCTAGAACATGCTGGGTGACAGGAGAAGGAAAAGCAAAGACGTAAGGACCAGATCATAAGGGTGGTGTAAGCCAAGAATGAGAGTGGGACAGAGAATGCATCTGAATTGTGGCAGGAAGAGAAGACTAAGCTAGGGTAAGCTTGTAAAAAATCACTATAGTTGCTAAGTGAGGAGTATACTGATTACAGGTGCCGAGGTGATGAGGGACACCAGTTAGGAGCTTCTGCCATGGTTTAGCTGAGGGCCATGTTGGAAGGTGGAGTGGAGTTAGTAGATGATGCTAAGTAAGCTATGACTGGCCCAACAGGATTGACTAGTCGATTGTATGTAGCATGGAAGGGCATGGGTAGTATAAGGACAAAGATGGAGAACAAAGGGGGACTCAAGGATTACTCAGTTTTCAGGCTTCACTTTCAGAGAAGAAAAAGGAATTTATAGTTTTTTGCACACCTGAGTTCACGGGATGAGATTTATACCAGACATCTTTGTGGCACACTAAGGGATTCAAAGACTCCAAACAACACTAAACAAGTCAGGAATACTTATAACACAATCTCAACTCTGGTAAAACAGTGTCTCGTGGTATCTATAAAAACATCCAGGATTGCTCTATGAGTCCCAGGGTCATCCTTCAACCGTGCTGCTGCTCAAAAGGAACTGTTCCCATTCTCAGCTGCCACCAGGATCTTTTCCAAAAGCAAACCTGATCGTGTCACTTCCCTGCTTAAAAACTTTCAATGGCTCCCCACTGCACTGTGAATAAAATCCAGACATATCTTTCCAGCTCATTTGCACCAGCATAATCAGACCACTGCTTCCCTCTGCAACCTCACCTCCCCTGCTCATGTCACTGTGGACCCAGTGCCCCCGGCTGGCACTTAGAATGTCCTCCTGCCCCTGCCTTCCCCACCTCAGGATGCTGGCACTGCTGTTCCCTCTGTGAGAACAGTCCTTCCTTGATGTGGCTTACTTTGAGAGACTGGGTCTCATGTACCACAGGCTGTTGTTGAACTCACTATGCAACTGAGGAGGATTCTTCTACTGCCACCTCCTGAGCCCCAAATTCTGAAGTTAAAGGTATGTGTCATTATGTCTGGTGTATGCAAAGCTAGGGACCAAAATCAGGACTTCACGCCTGCTAGGCAAGCACTCTGATAACTGAGTTATGTCCTCAGCCCCTCTTCCCTTGTTCTGAATACATGCCTGGTTTATTCCCATTCTTCAGGTCTCCTCCTCAGATCACGTGAGTGGGTCCCCTCTCAATTTGTAGGTGACATAAGCCCCTATTGTTTTCTTCATGATGTTCAGTACAGACTGGGATCTGGGCTTATTTATGTTCACCTCTTTTCCCATCATAGAGACAGCTAGCTGCTCCATCCAAAGTGGATGTAGCCACGAAGTCATTCTGTACCTTGCCAAAGCTGCCTTTCCCCAGCACCATCAGGAAGTTGAAATCTGTCAGTTTCATCCGGTCCCTGTTGCCATTGTTGTCAAATTTGGAGATGGTGTTGGCTGTCTTTTCTTCTGGAGTTTTGGTACCCTGGCCGATCTTGGCTCTCTGGAGGAAGAAATAGACAGAATACAGGATGAGGGCTGGGAACACTCTGGTAGGAAGATACACAGGCTCAGCAGATGGATGTGATTCCAACATCCAGACACCTATCCTATGCAATGCACGACCACATTGCTCTGCAAATACGCAACCTTGAGGCCAGCCTGGGCCCCTTTATCTCTCTTTATCCCTCCAACCGCATCCTTCTCTGGGAGTTGCCATGTCTCCTTGCTGGCCCTGGAACTCATAGACTTCTTTCCTAATTGATCAGCATTGCCTGTTAGTATCTGCCGGTCACCCAGAGGACCCACATTGGTTCCCTCCCTCCCAGGCTTCACAGTAGCAAACGCAAAGCTTCTCATACCAGCATGTCAACTACTACTTAAAGTGCTTCAGCTTGCATTGTGGAGACAGTATGTAAGAGAGCCCTTCCCAGTTGCTGTATATACACAGCTTCTGGTAATTTCTGTCCTCATCGACACACAAGTGAAGAAAGTGGTGTTTCTTGTTTCCCTTTATACCAGAGTGTAAGCTCCAGAGGACACAGACTTTGCCAGTTTGGTTGTCACTGATTCCCGGGTGTCTTGAGTATGTGGAGAGAACAGGCAACTGAGTGCACTTGGCAAATGAACTTTCTATACCTCAGTCCCCACAAAAGCTGACATTGACAATGCCAAGTATGCATCATTTGCAGAGTCCTGGTACACAGCAGACCCCAGTGAACTGTGCCAATATTATTGTTTCCTTATGCCATGTCTTTTGATGACAAATAGGTAATAAAATGATTCCTGAAGTTTTCTCTCTCTCTCTCTCTCTCTCTCTCTCTCTCTCTCTCTCTCTCTCTCTCTCTCTCTCTCTCTCTCTCTCCATTTCTCACTGTCTCTCTCCCTGTGTGTGTGTCTGTGTGTGTGTGTGTGAGAGAGAGAGAGAGGGTATAAATTTTTGTAAATGTAAGTGAGTGTGTGGGTATGTGCATGGCTCAGTACACAAGTGGAGGTCAGAGGACAATCTCAGGCATCAGCCCTCACCTACTTTGTTTGAGGCAGGGTCTGTCTTATTATTTGCCACTGTGTGCATGAGGTTGGCTGGCTCTCAAGTTAGTTTCCAACGATTCTCCCATCACTGCCTCCCATCTCTCCATGGGAGCACTGGGATTACAAATACCTGGTTTTACATGAGTTTGTGGAGATTCAAACTCAGGTCCTTAGGATTGCACAAGTGCTTTACAAACTGAGCCATCTCCCCAGCCCCTTCCTGGGGCTTTGTATGCCAATGAAGATGACTCATCCAATCAAGGAACTCTCACTGAGTGTCTGCTATACACCAGGCTCTGCTGTAGATGATCAGGGCAATCAGGGAGCAAAAGAGACACCCATGCTCAAATAGTGCACATCACGCAGAGACTGCGTCCTTCATGCTACATTTCAAGAAATATGTCAGCTTTAACCTAGGCCGACATTCAGTGAGTGAGACTGCAAAGCTCCCATCGCTTTTCATCTTCTTAATTAGTGTTTTAAAATAATTGAAGTTGGGACCAAGGGAGATAGCTCGGCTGAAAAATGTTTACCTTGTAAACCCACAGACCTGAGCTCCCACCTCAGAATCCACATTAAAGAGGGCATGGTGGTACATGCTGGTAATCCCGATGCTAGGGAGGTGGAGACAGGAGGATGGGTCCCTGGGACTCACTGGTCAGCAACTTAGTCTACTCAGTGAGTTCCAGGCCAGTGAGAGACTCTGTCTCAAAATAAAGGTGGATGGCGTTTGAGGAAAGACACCCACGGTTGTCCTCTGGCTTCCATGTGCACCATAGACACATATGCACCAGAACACACATGAACATGCCTACACAAATAAAATATATAAATAATTGCGATGTAAGCAGTAAAATGCACAGATATCCAGTATATAATTCATGAATTTTGACAATTATATACATAACTGTACCCTAATCAAGATACAGAACAAATCCAACTCCCCAGGGAGGTTTGCAGCTGATCTCTCCTCACAAACAACAAAGACCATCTCTAATCAGGTTTCTATTCTCCTAGGTCAGCTTTGTCTATTCTTGAATTCTATCCAAATAGAATCAAAGCACATAGACCCTTTCATGCTTCCTCTCATCAGAACATTCTGGAAACCCCTCCACTCAGTTGTGTGAACCAGAAAGTCCTCTCTGAGTTGCTGAGAATTTGTTGTTGGTATTGATCATTCTTCTATTGATGACTGTTGGTTGTCCCAGTGCTTGAACTAGTTTTGTAGTAAGACATGTTGATGTTTAAGTGGCGTCTATGGGTTAAGGGCAAAGTAGGAACATTTGAGAGACAGAGGCATGGGGTCCCAGGGAGGAGGATGTATTCGAAGCACGAGAACATGTCATCTGGGTGGAGACTTCACATAAGAGAGGTGCCCCAGACAACAGCTGCCTGTCTTTCTTGGACCACATCCTCATGCCTGCCTGGATCCTCCCTCCAGCCTCCTGGCTTTTTCCTGACTGATCCAAGCCTCCCTCCCTGTCTCCCTGCCTTATCACTGTGCATCCTGTTTCCTTTGTAGCTAGCCTGGGATGCACTACACTCCCACACTTGGGTCTCAGTCCACTCCCAGCCATTGGCTGTGCATGTCCATCCACATGGAGGTCCTAGGGCACAATTCCAATGGACTGGAATTAAGCTCTTTTTTTTCCATTTTACTTATATGTGCCTGGGTGTTTTGTCTGCATGTGTGTCAGTGCACTGTGTGCCTGCAGTGCCAGTGAGACCAGAAGAGGGCATCCCTTGGAACAGGAGTTACAGACAGTTGTGAGTGACATGTGGGTGCTGGAATTTAAAATCCTGTCCTCTAGAAGAGCAATCAATGCTCTTAACCACTAAGCCATCTCTCTAGCCCCCCAAATAACCACTTTTTAAAAACCCTTAAGGGCCTGGGTTTAGATGAGACTCACATGCTGGAGACTTGGTCTACTATGTGGCATGATGCAACCTAAGAGGTGGGACCTTGTGGAAAGTGACCGGGATGCTGCCCTCAGGAAGGAAAGATGCTGGTTCCTCCCATGTGCCGAGTCCCTCACATGCATCCACTTCCCTTTCTGTGTCTCCCCCATGTTGGGGCTCAGCCAAGGTGCTTCTCACCAGAGGCCACACAGGTCTTCAGCCCCCAAAATGGTGTGTGTGTGTGTGTGTGTGTGTGTGTGTGTGTGTGTGTGTTTGTAAGCACTTGTGTGTTTGTGTAGGAAAACCTTTTCTTTTAAATTACCTAACTTCAGAACTTTGTTACATCAGCAGTATGTTAGTTCAACATCTAGATCTAAATAACCTGGAAATCAGTTGCCAACTGTTAATAATCAGGAGAGGTCTTATAAAAAATCTAGAATCGGGTTAGAGGCGTGGCTCAGCAGTAGAGCACTTTCCTGGCATGCATGAGGTCTTGTGTCCTCTCCCTCGCACCAAAAACAAAACAAAACTACAAAACCAGACTCCAGGCCTCCTCTGAAGAAGTAGGCCTGGATACTCTGGGTAGACCCGACTTCCTCCCTACTATGTGCCTGGTTCCTGAAAGCATTTGGGGTTGTCCCCCTGGTCCCATGAGCCTTCTGAGGACAAGAACCTGTCACACAATGTTCTCCAGATCCCAGAGTTGCAGGTTTCTCACAGGTCCTGCATCAAAGGGAGTGACACAGGAAAATGAAAGTCACAGCAGAAACAACCGTCCACCGGCGGTTGCCTTTCATGTCTGTAATTCTGAGCCTGAGAAGTCTGCACAGAGACAATGCAGAAGGCAGCCCTGCTGAGTGGAGCTGTGTCACTGTGCAGTATGTCCTAGGGAACAGCGAAGACTCTAGGCTCCACCTCAGGTGATCAACATCTGCTCTGACTTCAGGCCCCTCCATACCCTACTCCTCTGAGGAGCCTCCACATGCACTCCCAGCTACCCCAGAAGGCCAGAAGGCAAGGGGTGTCTGGAGAGGTTCCCACCCACCCCAGGAGCATTACTGAGCTTGGTTGATTTCCAGGGAGGATCTGGCAATGACATTACCAGCATTCAACACACGAATGCTTATGCTGTACTGGATGCTTCTAGAGGCATGATGTCATCCAATCCTCATCTAATCTTAGGCAGTTAAGAGTGTCAGAATCCCCGTGTTACAGATGACAATGCGGACGCTCAGACAGAGTAACCTCCCTGCTGTAAGCAGGATTCAAACCAGGCAGCTTGGGCAGACTCTCAGGTATGCACCCCCACCTCTGGGCTGCTATCTACAAACACCTGCCACTTTGCCCCCTTCCTGTTCATCACATGGGGGATAGGCATCTCCACCAGTGAGGAAAGAGGGCTGTGGGTAAGACCCTGTTCTTGGACAGGAACACTCAGCAAGGAAACTCCCAGAGTTTTCTTTTTTGGAAGGCATGGGTTATTAAAGTCTAGCTGCTTGGGGGGGGGTGGTAACAGATTGATCTGAGGGTCATCCTAAGAAGTTCCCACCATATTGACCATGTGCAGACCCCTTGCCTTTGATCCCTAAACAATACAGCATTGCCTTTGATCCCTAAACAATATAGCATTGACCATTTAGAGACCACTGCACTGTAATGGGCATTCTAAGTGATCTTAGAATGGTTATATATATATATATATATATATATATATATGTATGTGTGTGTGTGTGTGTGTGTGTGTGTGTGTGTGTGTGTGTGTGTGTGTGTGTATATATATTTCTATGTGGAGAAGGGGGGCAGGACTTTGGAACTAATACCTCACTGACCTGAAGGGTGTCTGTCCTTACCCTCCCTCCTCCTTTTCTTGCCTTACCTCCTCATTACCCTGCTCCTCACAAGGCATGTGGGGCCAGTTCCCAAGTCAACTATTATCACCTGATTGATGATTTTGAGCTAGGGTCTCACAGTATAGCCTAGACTGGTTGCAAATGCTCTATCCTCCTGCCTCTGCCTCCCACACGCTGGGAACAGGAATGCACCTCCAGACCAGGCTTGGGCCCCTTATAATTTATTTCTAGAGAAACTCAAACCCATGGCCATGACCAGCTCTGGGGCTTCAGGAAGTTACTTCATCCCTCAGGCCTCAGTTTTTTCTGCGGAAAGAGAAGCTTTCAGCGGTGTGACAAGGAAGGCACTCAGAGTGACACACAGTGTATCTTAAGTACTTTGATAAAGAAGTGGATCCTAAGCCTGCCAGGAGATTCATTCTGAGTCTCTTCCCCGTGCACAGGCGAGGCCAGGGGCAAAGGACGCCCTCCTGAGGACATTCTGGAACATCTGCATCCAGCACACCCCACCCCAGAACACTATCACCTCAATTCTGGCAGCTCCAATCATCCCAGATAAGAAGCTTTAAGGTAATTCCTGACTCATTCTGGGTGCTAATTGCTTATTGTGCAGGGATTACATCTCTCACGTTCAAGGTCAAGTAAAATCCCTCCGTGTGTCTGAGAGCGATTTCAGTCTGTTGGAAGCGCTTTTTTTTAATCAACAACTATGGTATGGCGCGATTATAACTCAGGCATAAACAAGTATTTGCAGGCTCCTGCTAGGGATAAAGGGACATATTTTGTCGCATGCAGATAAAACAACCCTGTACTTCAAGCCAATTACTGTCTCAGACAAATGCTCTATCCGCATAGAAAATGTTTTCTTTGGTGTTTGGAAATGTCACCCCTGCCGCCCCAGGACAGAAGGAATTATTTTGCAAAGCTGAGACTTCATTTTCTACAAGAGAATACCGGCCTCGCTTTTTTGTTTTTTGTTTTTTCGCTCATAATCATAACAGCCTCAGCCAACAGATACTGCCAGCCCAGAAAGATTTCTCTGGAAGTCTTGCCTTCCAGGTCTTTTCTGAAAACACCCAATTCATAACTTAGTGGGGTGGGAAGGTTCTTTTATCAAGTTATTCAGGCTTGCACAGCCATCTAGAAAATGACCTTCAGTGATCAAGGTTACTGTATATGTTAGTCACTTTGTCACTGAGACAAACACCTGATAGACACTGACTTAAAGGAAGAAAAGTGTATTTGGTTCCTAGATTCAGAGGGATCTGCCCACTGCCTCTTGGCCCTGTGCACTTGGGCAGGACATCATGGTGGTGGGATTGCATGATCTACTTACATCATGGTGGACAGGAAGCAGAAAGCAAGACAGGAAGGACCTAGCAAGGGACAAGACACCCTACAAGGACCCACTACAGTGTCTAGTTCCTTCAGCTGAAGTTTCTAGAACTTTCCACAATAGAGCTACTACCTGGGACTAAGCATTCAAACCATATAAGCCTGTGGGAGCACTTCAGATTCTAGCTATGGCAGTGGAGGGAGAATGATTAGCAAGCCCAAGGCCAATCCACTCACTTCCAGAGAGACCCCATGCATCTAAAGCGTTGCTCTTGTGCAGACTGTGGAGGACCCAGGCTCTAGACAAGGACTCAAGGCTACTCGAGTGCCAATGAGTGGGAAGCTCACATGCTTCTTGGGGTACATGCCAAAACCTTTCTTAAAGCCATTGTAGCCGGATCTCTGACCTCAACCACTTCCCAGCCTCCCCTGGCGCCCACCCCTCCCCCTACTCTGCTCTCGCTGACCTTCTTCCAGAGTTAGCAGATGATTGCTTACCGAGACCTGATGACTGGCTACCAGACTCGACGCATTAAACTGTGTGAACAAAGTTCCGGGTTTCCACATGAAAACACTTTCAGAGCGTGTGATACACATATACCACACACAGTTGCACCCCCCCTTCCCCCAAACATCTGCCTGTGCAAAACTGGCAGGCGCCTGTACGCCTCACCTCACAGTAACTGACAGGAAGAATCCCTGGTCCTAAAGACAGGAAAGGAGTCTATCTGCAGTGGGAACAAACAGCAGCAGAGTCCAAGGTCAGACTCAGTCGCCACGGGCTGGACAAAACATTGTGCGTGAGGATTGCCCCCAGAGCTTTGCTAGAGTCGCCAGCACAGTCTGCTTGGAAACAGTACAGACCCACCTGCTGACAGACCCAGATTCAGAGTTCCAACAATTCATTTCTACTCTGTCCACTTGTCTACTCCATTATTTCCATTCCAGTCCAGATCGGCATCACACAGACGTGGGCACGGAATGGGCAATTTGGAAGAAATGTCTAAGTCTGAACCAGTCCAGGGAAGATTTCACAAGGGAAGGGTCTTGAGGTATAAGTAGGAGTTTTCTAACAGCTGGAACAGCATTGCCAAGGCTCTGAGTCATGAAAGGTCTCTATATACACCACACCACAGACAGGACAAAACGATCGCAGTGGTGCGATGTATCAGGTTCCCACAGAAATGGTGAAAGAACAAAACCTCACCTCAAACTTCTGCCGCAGCTCTTCATTGCCCTCGCTTCCTTCCGGTGGCACGGGCACATTGAAGTACTCGCCCTCTTCCTGGCTCAGCAACTTGAACCTAATGGGAGACAAGCGGTTGTGACAAATCTGTGACTGGGTGTAAGAGCATGAAGCTGAACAGAAGGCCTGCCTAAGACAAACAAACAAACGAAAAACTGTGGTGGGGCTTGGGAGACAGCTCGGTAGGGTAAAGCACTTGCCAGGCAAGTGTGAGGACCTGAGTTCAAATCCCCAAAATGCACATAAAGCTTGACAAGGTGATGTGTCTGTAAGCTTAACACTGCTAGAGGGAGAAGGAGGCTGAAGCAGGAGAATCCCTCAGAAACATCTCAGCAGTCAGCTAGCCTGTGTCTGCAGCACTGAGCAGCAACCCTGCCTCAAACAAGCTGGCGGGCGAGGCGAGGACCTCCATGTGCCCGAGCTGGCGGGCGAGGCGAGGACCTCCACGTGCCGGCTGTGGCACACGCACCCGCACAGGTGCACACACAGCTCTGCCAGCTAGTCACTCACAGAGTGCTGCTCTCTGCTGAGTCATGCTCGCAGGCCTCCCGGGGGTGTGCTCTCCTTTCACACCCCTCCCCTGTCTGCTACCTTCCAACAGGACCACAGACCTCACAGTGCTGTTTGCCACTGCAGGGACTGGGGGAAGAAGCAGGGGGAGGGGGGGCGGGAGTGGGGGGAGGGCGAGGACTCTGAGGGAACAGTGTCCCTGAGGGTGTGGATGCAAGGGTGCCCTTGCTTCAGTCCTCCTTTGCACGACCTTAGCTCCAAAGTCCATCCGAGCCTTGCATTTTCCATCTGCATACCGGAATAGACGTCCCTCCTGCACACAACTGAAAGGCGGTGGCGGTGTGTGAAATAAGCACAGCACTAGTCCTCCATAAACAGTGTCACCTTTGTCATCACTAATGGTTTCAGCGGTCTGACAATACACGTGGGAGCTTTCGTTTACTTTTTTAACCACTAGGATACTTATGACCCCAGGCAATAAAGGAAAAAAGAAAAGAAAAGAAAGAGGACACTCAAAAATGAAGGGGTGGCCCCTACACTCCTCCCCAACAGCTCTTCCCAAAAGTGAGCATATATGATGTTTGTACAAATATGGATTTTAATCTCCAAGTTTTTCTCGATTCACACGTCCTCTTGAGCAGTGTCCATTTGGAGGGTGGATGAATCAGAGGGAGTAATTGGAGCCTCTAAGCCTCACAACGGTTCCTCAGGTCTCTCCCTGCAATCTCTAAAAGACACAAAACTAAGAACTTGTGTAAGCATCTGCTGGAACTTAAGGAGGTTTGCTATACGGGAGCCCCAGAGTTTCTACAAGGTGATGAGGTCATGAGAGACTATAGGACCATGTGCAACTGACTTTGCCTTTCATGAGCCTCTTTATGGGTTCTGCTAAATCTGCATACTATTTTAACTCAATGTTTTTCATTAAAATAATTGGATTTTAACTGGGCATTGGTGGCACATGACTATAATCCCAGCCCGTGGGAGGCAGAGGCAAAAGGCTCTCTGTGAGTCCAAAGCCAGCCTGATCTACAGTGTTAGTTCTAATTCAGCCAGGGCTACACAAAAAATCCATCACACACACAAAAAAATGGATTTTTAAAAAATAATAAGTTCCCATTTAAAGCCCATTGTCTGGGTTGAGGGTGAAAGTTAACCCTACAAAGCACTAGATTCAGCTGCTGGTACAGGAATAAAAACAGGTAGGTAAACAGAGAGAGATTGATTCTATCCCGTCCTTTAAAATACATCCACTGTCACTTTTTTAAAGTAAAAGGCGACTGTTAAAAAGAAAGGCGGAGCTAGGCAGACAGCCCAGCGGGTGATGTTCCTGTGGAAAACATGAGTTCAGATCCCAAGTACAAAAGAACAGAGATGGGTCCATTTAATTCTAGCACTGGGAGGTAGAAACGGGAGGATCTCAGGGACTCTTAGCCAACTGGTGAGTTCCAGGCTCAATGAGAGTCCGTCTCAAACCGTAAGGTGGAGAGCAGTGATTGAGAAAGATACAAGATCAGCCTCTGGGCTTCCACATGTGCACTCATGGGCAAACAGCACACACACACACACACACACACACACACACACACACACACTCTGGGGGTGGGGGCAGTGTTGTGGTTTGAATATGAAATGCCCTTCACAGACTCGTGTTTTGAATTTGAAGGCTCGGTCCCACATGGCAGTACTCTGTTCAGAAGCTGTGGAACATTTCGTACATGAAACCCAGCTGGGGGAAGTAGGTCCCCAGAAGCATCATCTCTGGAGGGTCTACCCAGCCCTTAGTTCCTGCCACATTCTTCGCATCCCTATCCCACTAGGGTATGGACAGCTGGCCTCCTCCTCATGCTCAGCCACCATGATGCTCAGCTTAAGCACATAAGACCAATCAACTGCAGACTGGAATTTCTGAAATGGTGAGCCAAAATTAATCTTCATCCTTGACATTCTGTTTAGTTCAAAGAGTTTAGCTGCTCCCATAGTCTAGCCTAAGCCCTCCCCACTTTGCAGATGGGGCATCTGCCCGTAGCCCCCTAGAACCTCTTCTTTGCAGTACTAAGAACAGAGTAAACAAGTCAGTATAAGTCACACTCTGACTACTAGTATCCAAAGTCATACTGGGTCTCATAATTCAGAAAATACAGTTCACCGGCTTTCATAGGTACTAGGAACCCCAGCCAAGCCTGGATCAGATGAGCAAGGTATAAGTGAGGGTCCCATGTCCCCACATCTGGGAAGCTGGGGGAAGGACCAGCTCCTGGAGCAGGCCTGCCACAAGCAGTGTGAGAAGAGTGTGCGATGACTTTCTGGACCCGGGCTATGCATGCCTAGAAGAAAAGAACAGGGGACTCCAGAGCCAGTGTAAAAAGGACACTTCTCTATCAGGGCGGATGCTTGTCTGCTGCCTCTAGTTGTGGTCCCCTTCCAGGGAACGGGATACCTGGTCTGCACAAAATAGAATTCCCAGAGCTTACAAAAGGCTCCTGGCTCTTGGATCTGAGGACTAGGGCAGGACAACCATCACTGCTGTGCCCATCCTCCTTCCAACAGAGACGGGGCAGCAGGACACACAGACACACAGCCATCAGAAGGAAAGACACATAGAAGCAGTGGATCAGGCCAACCCAGGAACACAGCAGCTGAAGGAAAGTCCTAGAGAATGTCTAATTCCTATTTTCAAAGACAGTAAAGCAAAGGGAACAATTTGAAATTAGGAAAGATTGTTTCACAAGAAAAATCCAATCACCAAATTTCAAAATCCACTGGAGACAGTGAACACAAGATGGGTAATTCAGACAATTGGGGAATCACAAAACAGAGCAGGGAAATGTCTCTGGCAATCGCCTTGATATTTATCACATTAAGTTAGAGTTACACAAATGCCCTCTGCACACTAAGAAAAACACATATGAAGGAAAGCAGCATCTGACATGAGTGGGAAGAACTGCATAACATACATGTGGGAAAACACCAATATCCTCAGTAGGGAGAGCTTTTTCTCCAAGGTGCTGGAGACCAACCCAGGCCTTTATGCTTGCTGAGCAAGTGGTCTACACTGAGCGACCACCCTATAAAAAGCTCTTAGGAATCAATGAGAAAACTGCCAAACCAGGGCTGTCATTCATAAGTGTAAACAAATGGCAATCTGCAAATGATGATGCTTGGCATAATTAGAAATAAAGAATGTGTATGATCCTTGCATTGAGTATTTGACATATACAATACTAAGAATTGACAACTGAGGGTGAAATAATACTCTCACACATTCATCAGATGAAGATTTTTTTAATACAGGATGTGTTGGCAAACATTTTATTGACACACACACACGTTCTCAGAGCCATACATTTCAGTATTGTGGATTTATTAGGAAGTAATTAAAGCTGTACACAAAAGCGTTGAGCTGCCAGCTTGTTGTCATGGAGTTATTTTTTATAGATATGCATTTCCCACCTTAGAATAAACAACTGTTGAGGGCTGAAGAGATGGCAGAAAGGTTAAGAATACTGACTGCTCTTCCAGAGGTCCTGAGTTCAGTTCCCAGAAACACATGGTGGCTCACAACCATTTATAATGAGGTCTAGTGCCCTCTTCTGGTGTGAAGACATACATGCAGGCAGAACACTATATAAATAATAAATAAATAAATCTTTTTAAAACGAATTGTTTTTCTATCCTGGTCTATAGAGCGAATTCGATGACAGGTCCCAGAGAAACCCTGTATTGAAAACCAAACAAACAAACAAAAAGCAACAGCAGCAACATAAACCAAACCAAACCAATCAACCAAACAAATAACAATGACTGTCTGACAGAAGCAGATCCAGCACGGGTCACATATAAGAAATGATGTCTAACAGCAGCTCAGAAAGCTCAGAGGACAAAGAGCTTGCCGGTCAACCAAGAGGATGGAGTTGGGAGCCCTAGGACCCGAGCACAGGCAGGTCCCACCACATGCACCTGTCACCCTACCTTCCTTGAAGCTCACACACAGGTCACCTAACTTGGTGTACCCGACGATGAACCAGACTCGACCTCACACAAACTGGAAGATAAGGTCCAGCATCAGAGACTGACCTCTCCCCTCCAGGTGCATGCTATGGTACACAAACACCGATCCCACACGAGTACTCACACAAATGAACATGTGTGTACAACACCCATACACAGACATTTAAAAAATGGTGTTTCCAAGGTTACTGAGTGATGGAAACAGGTTCGTAATACACCGTGAGATTTTATTTTTATTTTGCAGGCATACACAGAGGTGGAGGGATTAAGAAGGGACAAGAGGAAATTAGGTCTCCTTAGCTTCCTCACTCAGAACACACACCACCAGTTCTCCCTCCTGGCTGACCCATGTTTCCCAAGATGCTTCCAGATGCCTGCAGTTCACCAGGCATAGGCTTGTCTCAGGGCCTTTGCATAAGCTGCTTCCTCCCTGGACAGGGCCCAGTCCCATTGCTTTTAGACACCCTGGTAAATGTCACCTTGAAGTAAGTTCTTTCCTGAGAAAAAACCGAATGAAATCTACATACCAGGCCGGCT